CCCCCGCGTTCCTTTCTCCCTGGTTGACTATTTTTAATGATATCTTATGAAAAAAATGTTTTCTATGGTTTTTTTGGATGATCAGGTATTGTTACTGTTATTTTATGTGCGGCCCAAACTAAATTTTCATCTTCTAATGTGGCCCAGGGAAGGCGAAAGTTTGGACAAGCCTGTTCTATAGTGATAGCTATAAAGCACTAAATCATAATAGAACCATCTTAGCAGATGGCAATATGTTATTTTTTCCCCAAAAGCTTCATACTTTTTTTCTCCAAAATATATCCTCTGTGGTTGTATAAAGGATGGGAAAAACAACAATCAAAATCTGGGAGATTAGAAAGGTCATTAACTATGTAATAGGTCTCATGAGTCTATCACTTTTTAATAACTTTATTATGAAATAAAGGTAGCATTAAATCTACTGCATGTCCAAACTTCTGCACCAGCCACAGGAACTATATTTTTAAATTTAAAATCTCTAAACAACTGCCCACAAATAGTGCATAAGCTAATTTCTAGAAATGCATTGTACTTAATTATATATCTTGCAAAAGCTGCATTTATTACTGTTCATATGGAGACTCATTGAAATATATAATTCAATCACAATTTTCTAAACAGTTGAATGTAGCTGCAGCTGTTCTGATATAGAGATATAAGATCAGCTTGATTTGCAATCTATCCTATTTAAAAAATAAAAATGCACAAATTGTGCAGACAGGACATACACAAGTATACAATCATGCACAGTAGTGTTCTGAATGAGGGACTTTGGATATGCATGGTCCCATGAGGCCTACAGACGGCTTTCTGTATCAGTTGTGGGAAGTCTGTAAATAGTGAACGATGCTGAGAAAACCCTTATTCTGAGTTGTGGGTGCAAAGAATAACCAGGAATGCCCCACCCAAGAAACCCTTTAATAGAATAACTCTGTTGATTCTAGACTTTGCAAACCCTTAATTATGAAAGAATCAGTAGAGAAACAGACAGCTGAAGAACAAGTCTGGCGTGGATAGATAGGAAGAAAAGGAGAAAACCTCAAACCTTAGTGGGCAATATACAGAATATCAAGATTATAAGTCATCATACTCAATATAAGTAATGCCATTTTATTTCTTTAACAGTCTCTGTCTAGAGCCAACTTTCTTGTAACAATTTTCTTATTACATAAACACCAAAGGAAAGGACAAAAGGTATAATAAATTTCATTAAATTGTAATAACAAATCTATTTACAGAAATAATTCGGTAATAATAGAGATAGGGCTACAGAGCACAGCAACTGAATATATTTGAAGCTATGATTTGTTATAATTTTGTGTATTTTCATTTAATGAATGAGCTACCATAGTTTCTATTTTTTTTTCTTTTTCTGCCTACCTCACTTGAGTTTGATAAAAGTTATTGTGAGATAGATAGAATACTTTATTGGCCAAGTGTGATTGGACACACAAGGAATTTGTCTTGGTGTAAATACTCTCAGTATACATAAAAGAAAGATACATTCATCAGGAGTCGAGAATCATAAGGTATGACACTTAAAAAGTTATTGTGAGTTTTAAAGTTCATATACCTAAGTGTATGATAGTATTTAAAATGGAGGAAAGAATCCAATGCTGAATGCCCATGCATTAGTATAATGATAGCAAAAGTTTAAGGCAATTGTTTTTGCACATAAGTAATCAATTATAAATGGAGTGTGTTATGGCCGTCGATAATGGGAATTCATAGAGCAGCAAGTTGGTATGAAACTGTCATAAAACAGTACTGAATTCATAGAAAATTTACTATGGCTTCAATCCCCAATCAAATCCCATCTATGAGATTACAATAACAGTTTGAACTTCCAAAACTCCATATTAATAATCTTGTTACTGTTCTTATTACTGTTCACAATTTTATTACTTTTAATCATTTATATAATATGTTCATTATTATTATTTTTTCTTGTTAATCATTTTGGTATTAATATAGTTGATAGGCTAACAATTTGTAAGTTGATTTAGAAATTTAACAGCTTAAAATTATTTTGGCCTGTTTTGCAAGGGGTTAAAATTATTTTCCAACACTGATGTATTATATTAATCAGCATTCAACTAGGGAGGATGTTAGTTTTTTTTCTCTTTTTTTAAAAGACTTTTCTTGTTAATTTTTTTGTTGTGTTTTTTTTAAAATATATTTTAGCGTTTTGTATTTTAACCTTCTTTAAAAAAAACAGTAGTGGACATTTTTGAATTGCAAATTAAGCAATATTTTCTCCATAAGCAGAAAGGACTCAATTATCGGGGGGGGGGCATTTTCCCCCGGAAAAGAAGATAACATGGAAGTTCTTCCAATTTTGGATGTGTGTCTTTGCTCTGTTTCTTGAGAAGCTCTATTTTTGGAACCAGTAAGCAATTGAAGATTAAAGTGAAAGTCCTAACATAAAAGACTACAGCTATTTTATCTTTGCTTATCAATTGTAACACTCATTCTTTTGTTTTTCATCTTTTGGGACATTGTATTACTTCAGTTGTCCTGTTTTGCAGTTTATTCCATAAATCTAAGTGCAATTCATAAGATTTTTTTCAAATAGAAATATCAAACTAAAAGTGATTATTGAGTGCAGCAATTGCATTTTATGCACAACTATATAGATCTCTCAAAATGTATAAATACTATTTAAAAATAATAATCCAGATATACATAAATCTTTCTACAGTAAGGTAAAAAACTGAGATGTAATTTTGTAATAGATGTTCCACCTGGATGACAGGCGGATTAATGATATGTTGGCTTGCAAGGTAGTAATTAAATTACAAATTCTAGTTTGTATAGAATACCCTGACAATGCTTCAAGTAAAATTTGTATTGGCATGATTGTGACATACAAAAGCCAAAAATTAAGAGTTTTACCCTTATAGTTAGCAGGAGAGTGTGTGGTAGTAGGGTGAGTAAAACTGATGTCCTACTTTATTCCTCCTCTATCTTACTAAAAGACTTTATTTAACAAAACCATAATATAGTAGGAGTCAGTATCTGAGGCCTAAGTGGTGTATTAGAAACTGAAACTTTGCAAATCAGAGCTATGTACTATGTACAATTACTTGTAGCATAAAGAAAGAGAAGAAATAATAATAATAAAGAATAAGATAGAATGACTGCTGGAACAAAACATTTTTACAATTATACATTAAAAAATATCAGAAGATAGATTAATATCTCAAATAAATGAATGGAAAACAGACCTAGGAAAATGTAGTATAAAAATTACTTGACTAGTTTGAAAATTATTATTTTATAGAACACCCTGGAAGCTTTGGAGTTGTGCTAATGGATGATTCCAGTTGGTTGCTCACTTCCTCAATGGCAGTTCTAGGAAGTAAACAATAATTCTAAAAAAAACAAGATGAACATCACTCAAAAGTAACTTTGCCACCAATCCTCATATGTATGACCTTTACAGGTCTGTAAAACAAAGGAAAGCTGAAGTAAGATTATAAACAGTCGTGATGTCATTTAGTGACTTCACTTAATGACCAATTTGCCAGCCCCAGTTGTTCCTAATGAATACCACCTGTATGTAATGCATTTCTGTCATTCAGTGCTATGGTTTTATTATGTTAAAATTGTTATATTTTATTGTCATTGATATAATATGGGGAATCATTGTATTGTTACCTCTGAATGATATAGTAACGTATAGCTTTACTGAGATTGACTAATCATTAAAACTGTAATGTATGGTATATATTGTCCTACATTCAGTAAGCTACAGTACATATTGTGAAATGACTAAAGTGGCATAAAAGCACAAGGAAGGGAAGATATTATGCAAAAGTGGTTGGTGGCTTGAGACAGTGAATGAGGAAAATGAACATAAGAAAATCATGACTGCAAAACAAGGGAGGAAGGAAGTCCAATGTTAGCAAAACTGAAGCAAAACTGAAACTTTACCTATCCCAGCAGAGAAAAGAAAGCTGACAGAATCTACTCAAGATCTTGTTAACAGATATCCCTCTGCCCAAAAAAGACAACTGAAGAGATAGGCCTTGCCATTGAGAATGCAGATATCTACTTGCCGAAGGTACCTACTTGCAGAAGATACCAATCTGCCTTTCTTTGTAGCTCTATAAATTCCGTTCTTTTTCCCATGAAAGCTTTATGAGCATACTCACCGATATGAGAATTGAACTTTGTTCACTTCATTCGTTATAATCTTACATTTCCTAGCATCATAATTTGTATATCTGGGAAGCTCTCGTTAAAGTTTATGAAAATACAAGAGGAATAAGCTACACAACTCCTGTATGCATTTCAAAAAGAGCTTGCATTGAAGAAACTTAATTTGGTTTACTGCTTCAAGTTATTACATTCTCAAAACTCATCCCGTGAGTGGTATTTTTGTTAGCACTTCAGATACATTTTTTTAAAAGTATAAGGTGTTTCAGAGGGACCACCCAGATTCAGGAACTGAGCTCTAATCTAGTAATGCCTCAAAGGCAATAGAACACTACCTAAGAATGATATGAGGGTAATTCAACTTTATTTATTGTACATTTAAATAGAAAGGTGGTGTATAAATTCAATATTAAAACAATGAAACTTAAGAAATGCAATCTAAGAGCAATTAAAAATGGTTACATTTAATGAAGTTCTCAAGGAAGAATAATCTCTGAAGTGTTTCACAAACTGGCAGATTAATCATTAAAATTTAAGAAATAATTATAAGTATGCAAGGGGTTATACTGTGTTCCATAATATAATCCATTCAGTTAAGTGGAGTTTATTTCCAAGAAAATGTGAACAGCAATATTAGCCAAGTTGATTCCGATTCAATGTATGTGTTAATTCCTGTATTGATAGTAATTTATCTGGGAATACAAGGCATTATTTCCATACCACTTCTTACATTTCATTACAAACACCCCAATAATGTTCAGACTTTTCAATATCCATCTTTAAAATAGTTGAGATAGATAAGACAAGTAGAGCTAGCTATGCTAGACAATGTATTGTACCTTTAAAATGAAGATCTCCCCATGATCTTTCTCTGTGACTCTTTGTGTTGTCAGGAAGCAGGTATGACTGCCATCATGGTCTTCCCTTACCTGTTAGGAAAATTTTGAAATAAAGTAGAAACTATAAATTTAACATTAAAAATGTTAACTGTATCTGTAAATAAAGTTAAGTAATATTTAAATATTCTGACATGTTCCATCCTTGGGACTGAATGGCCTAGCATCCCCCCTATTCAGGGCTAACCTGGGGGGTCTTTCTGAACTCTTAGTTCCTGCTTCAGAAGTAGGTGACATCTGTCACCAAGAAGGCATTTGTACAAATCCAAATAGTGTGCTAGTTGTACTCATTCCTAGACCAAGAAGCCTATTCTTACTCTCGCTTATGCCATAGCCAGTTTGCCAATAAGTTATTTGCAATATGGTCTACATGGGGCTGTCCATCAAAACTAGTTTAAAGCTAGTCTGGTCTAGAATACAAGGGCATGAACAGTGGAGGGAAGGCTCATTATGCCTATGTAACATCTCTATTTCATAAGACATATTGGTTACCAGGAAGCTTCTGGGCATTTATATTATCAACATTTACTCATTCCTCAGTGTTGACCTATGTCATTTATATCTGATGCAGAAAATGATCCTCCCATGACAATAAAGAAACAATTTATTAACTAATGCATGATTATCAGTTTTTCATTAATACTCCCAAATCTGCTACTGGAAGAGCTTCATCTAATCACACTGTGGCTTGGCTTGTACATCATACAAAATCATTTTAATAAACAACAACTTGCTTGCTTTATGCAATGTGATAAGCCAACTTCAAACCTATTGGAAAAGTAACTTAATATTACAGATGAAGTCAACCTCTGAGACAGAGCCTATTTTTCTCTGATATTCTAAAAGTACTCATATTTTTCAAGCCATATTAATACAATAACTTCAAAACTAGGATGGTTTTGAATTTGATAGTATATCCAGAACATTTCCCAATCAAATATTTTTGAAGTGCCAGCAGTGATTTCACTTGGTTAGTATAATGTCTGTTGTACTCCTCCCTGGTTCTTGCTCCAGTAAACATAATTCTGTTATGAAAAGGCTAAGTTAACATTTTCTTCTGCTTTTCAGGAGCATTGAACATCACTTCAGAGTAGCTTTTGACTTCCAAAAGCTATTTGACTGGTTGAAACAAATAGTTCAAGCTGAGCTGATCGTTATCATACAAAATTTACAAATGCAAAACTAGTTCAAATTATGTTTACTTGGTTCTAGTGGAACTAGTCTGGTGCCATATGAGTGTTTTTATGTATTTTATGTATTCATGGATGGAACTCAAGGTAACATTAACCTTGTATGTAAGATACCAGCAAGACACTTTGAAATGGAACTTTTAGTGGCTGATGTTTCAGCAACTTATTTTATGAATCACTAGCACTCTTGATAAATCAATCCTGGGCATTTTATAGCCCACAGGCCATATCCAGCCCTATAACTTCCCTGTCTGACCCATGTGGGGTCAATCTGAAATTAGAAATCAAATGCAAGTAAGTATACTCAACAACTGCAGTGCTTCTATTTTGAATGGGACTGCTGTTGTTGTTTTTTAATATGTGCATGGCTGCGTTCCTCCACAGCACTATTAGTTCAGTCCACCACAACAGCCCCAGTTTCTCATTGTGGCTCCTTGAGCAGTTTTTATTTGGTTTTACATTGTTTTAACGGGGGACAGTTCAGCAAAAGACCCCTCTCCTCCTTACTTCATTCTGTTTTCAACAATAAGCTAGTCACCAAGACTTCTTGCAAGTTAGGCTCCAAAACTAACATCAAGACATTTTAGAACAAATGATATTAATAAACATCTACAGCTTTTTAAAAACATTAAAGTTGATAAGGGTAGGCTGCTTCCAAAGCCATCACCAATAAATTAGGGGCAATCCATTCCATCCTATAAAAGTGCTCTTTAGGGCTATTTAAGAGCTTTCCTAGTGAGAACCAATCAAAAAAATATAGTTTATACAATTTTGCCATTCATGCATAAGACAGCTAAAGATAACTAACCCCTTCTGTTAAGTGAATTGAAAAGGTGCTCCTTGCAGATAAGCCATATTTTTCTCATGTAGATGTTCTGTTTGATCAATTTTATAACATCTAAAATGCAGTGATTTCTTGATAAATACAACAGTGGCAGCTTGGTTTGTCTTGGGTAGTTTCATTGAACTAAACAACAGGCAAAGGCATAATCATGCTAGTCTGTTGTACCAAATTTAAATCAAGGTCTTGAGGCTCCTTAAAGGATAACATATGTATAACAGCATCAGCTTATGTGGCCCAGATGAAATGGACTACTCCTTGAAAGCTTATACTGAAATGGATTTGTTAATCTTCAAGAGGCTACAAAAGTCTTTGATGCTTGAATACTTTTTTTTTTTATTCAATGGAACAACTTGCTGAAGGCATAATGAGTAAAAAGCTACTGGAGGAAGAAGAAATATAGATCACATTCTTTCATAAAAAGAGGCAGAGAAATCTTACAAGAAAACAAGCTAAATTTAAATAATCATTCATCTATACTAAGATAGCATTTATATACGTTAAGACTGGATTGGAAACAAGGGGAGTCAAATACAAATCTCCATCAAGCGCTCCCTGGACAATTTGACCTGATCGCTATCTCTCCAGCCATTTAACTCATTTTTTCCACAAGGACAAAATAAAGATTTTTTTCAGTGGCATCACCTTGAACTCCTAGAGAGAGGTGAAAAATCTGCCTTCCACTCCTGGGCCTCTACTTTGTAGAGTGCAGAGCACCTACAAATCAAACCACTAAAATAGGCTGGTATACTGTGTGATTTGTAGCAGTCTTCCACTAGAAGTATGCATTCCACAACTTAATATTACCTATTAACAACCACAAAAAAACTGATCATTTTTGAACCTTCTCTTCCTGTGCCACAAGCAGATCACAAATGCATTACTACATTTAAAGTAAAAGTATTTTACACCCATACAAATGTGAAATGAACTCCACTTCTTACATTTTATTCTTTTCTATGTATATTTATATTCCCATAGTATACTAAAACATAGAACAGCTGCACACAATTTGTTAAACTGGATCAAGATATACTTCCTCTCCCCTGCCTACCCCGAAAATATCAAAACTATGGCAAAATCAATTTTTCAAGGCAGAGAAGTTAAAATCCAAGTGATCAGGAAATGTGATTAAGCATCATGAAAAGAATCTAAGATTGCTCCTAGAACTGAGAAGTTTTAGAAGTCTAATTCCAGCAAGTCATTCTTACTTTATGAAACACGCAATGTTTTTTGAGAATTCAGAAACAAAGCATTAACATACTGGGTTAAATCTAAAGCCAACCTCTTCTATCAACATATTATAAAATAAATTGTGATTTTAAATATAAAAAACTATACACCTTCATTATCTTATGTTAACTGAGAAGAAATATGAGAAGTTTTTTTAATGATTGACTTGAAATTTATATCGACATAAAGGAGGTATAAAACTATAAAACCAAACGTGGATTTTTAAAACCATTTAATTGGATTTTTCTATTTGCAACCCTATCTATCTATCTATCTATCTATCTATCTATCTATCTATCTATCTATCTATCTATCTATCTATCGTATCTACCTACCTATCAAAACAATTCCTAGTATCTCCAATTGTGGGGGGAAAGGGTATGGGAAAGCCTACAGATCCAACAATAGGATTTTTCCACATGACCAACAATTCACAAAAATTTGGGTAACTATGAAGCTATAATTGGAGGAGAGATAAATGAAAGCACCCCAAACATGCCTCCAGTACAATATTGAGAATTAAAATGAATTTAGAGGGAGTGTGATGGCTCAGTGGTTAAAGACACTGAGCTTGTCAAATAGAAAGTTGACAGCCCAGATTCAAGACCTGAGCGCCATGCAACGGACCTTCTGTTCCTACCCCAACATGATTGCTGCCATTTAGCCAACATTTAGTCAACAAAATTTCTTTAATAGATGAGTGGGCAGCCAATAAATTTTGTGCCATGAAGTCTCAATTTCTAACTATATTTTTAATACTAAGAAATGGAAAATGCAATTGAAGAATTTCCCGTTTCAGATGTCACAATAATCTAATTAAATCTAATCTTGGATATTATGCATCTTTACCTGAAGAAAGAAGCAACTGTCTCAGATAGAAAAGTTCATTAGGTTGTCTGCAAGTAATATATCTGCAGAACTTTATATTGCTATATCTCCAATCTGCTAAGTCCCAATATTGAGGAGCTTTTGCCATTAAAAATCTTCATCAATTTTCCAGCCTCACCTGAACTTTCATGTAGCATTTTACCAATCAAGAGTGAAATTTACAGATGATTAAATTTACAAGAGTCAGTAATTATATTCAGTTCTCTGCCTATATGACATCAACTTTATTTACTTCACTAGTATAGAGTTTTATCTTTAAACACAGGTTTTGTTATGATATTTTTAGGTTTTCCATTGTGCCACAAGATATTATTCACTCCACAGAAGAGACTGAACTAAAGGAATCATTATCCAGGAATTGTAGTTGTAATTCTCAGAATTTCAAACCAATTTAATCTTTGATTGTGATACCTGAAATTCTAGAATTTATAATCTCAATAACAACTACGTGTTCTGTGGGAAAATGCTTAAGTATAGCTTTACTCTTAAAAGAAAATGTGATTATAGACCTAATTCTTAAGATATGTGCAACCCTAACTTGCTATGTATGTCTTCTCTAGTAGGCTTTCCATAACTATTTTAATTCAATCCCATCATCCCCAGCCAAAATGGCCAATGTTGAACCCTAACACATCTAGAGGATACCGGGTAGGGAAGGCTACTATATACGTTCCATTAAAATAAGTTGCACCGAGTTTCAATTGGGCTTACTGAAGGGATTCTCAGGATTTCTGGAGGTCATGAGAGGGGGGATCTGCAATTAGTTTTAAAAGCAATTGGGCTTGCCCAGGCAAGCAAAGCTGGAGCAAATATACTGAGAGCACTGCAGCTTTGCTAGGGCCAACCTGATGCCTATTTATTTTTGGGCCAAAGCCTAACCTAAATGAAAAGCATTATTATTTATGTGGAGCTGTCCCACAAATTTATTTTTATTTTATTTATTTGTATTTTGCCTTTATTATTTTTATAAATAGCTCAAGGAAGCAAACATATTCAACACACCTTCCTACTCCTATTTTACCCATAACTCTGTGAGATGGGTTGGGCTGAAAAAGAATGACTGGCCCAAAGTCACCCAGCTGGCTTTCATGGCTAATGTGGGACTTAAACTCATGGTTTCTCGTGTTCTAGCCTACCTATCTTACCACTAGAACAAACTGGAAATTTATCATTTGCATGTGCAAAGTTAAAGAATGCCTAGTTTACTGTTTAATAAGTGACTTTAGGACAGCAGCCTAAATATTCATTCAAAAAATATTTAAATGCATGTTGCAATAGGTGCTGTAGCGGTACCTTTCTTATTCAAGTTGCAACAAGTAGTTGTTTTCAGTATGGCAGAGCACACAGAATTCATCAATATTGCATACCCAAATGCAAGAAATCCTGCAAACTAAAATTTGGCTCAGTAGTAAAATAATTATACATCAAAGCAAATAATATTTTCACATCTGATCCCTAACAGTATTTTACATGGTTTTGCATTCTTCCCTATAACAAAGCAATGCATTCCTATGATTGAAATAATTTATATACTGATTGATATCAGTATATATCTGATATATACACTGATTGGTATAGTCTTATACCATGGTATCAAACTAGCACTCTTAAATCATCTCAAACAATGGTTCATTTCCCCTTAGAACAAAAAGAAGGGAATAAGTTCTGCTTTAAATTTTATAACTTCCACAGCTTTTTTTCCAAAACTAAAAGATCTGCAAATGGTTAACTTACATATCAAATGTGCAGTCTGTGATAAGTTGCCCCAGAAGGCAAATGACATTTAAATTAAGACAAACACAAAAACAAATAAATGATCATATCAGATAAGCTGTTTATTTTCATGACTATTTTATAATGTGCCTTTGCTCATGTATGGACACAAATGACTACTACTATTGCATTTGAGGATTTTAAATTTGATTGTGCAAGAAACAATATTTTAATAAGATCACATTTCATCTTGGCCTAACTGTAAAATATAAATTACTGTTTGTTTGTATGAACTGGCCATACTTCATCTTCCTTTCGAAGAAATAAGGGAGTAGAAAAGTTCAAGCAAGTATTAATAGAAGGTTAAGCTACTTAAATGTATGAGTAACCTACTCCCAGAGACATAAAGCTGAAAGGGCTACACACAGACTTCTTGGCAGTCTGTCTACCATTCAACTGTAGCAAAATCATTATACAGTTCATACAACGCACATTGAAATCTACATTATCAAACCAACTCAGAAAACAGATGTAGACAGATGGGGATTTAAATTAAAAGATGTGTAGAACAAGTATGGCAGAGAGATCCAAACACTGCTGGCAAGTCCTGCGATGAATAAAGCAATTAAAAAAAAAAGATTTGCATACAATAACTGCCCGCTGCCAGCCCGATTTTCATTTTCACAAGAAATGAAGGCTGGGAGTAACTGCTCATACAGCTGATAAATCAATGACGTATCGGAAATATATATATTCATGACTTTAACAACAGCCGTTCAAGGGCAGATAGTATCGCCATGTGCAAGTGAATTACGATGGTCCTAGAAAGAGAAAAAGCAAAAGGAAGGGGAAAAGATATACTCTGGGGACGGACGGGAAGAGAAAGAAAATGTGAACTCCAGGATTGATCTGCAGACAGAAGAGGGGTCTGCATCCAGTCAATCAACCCACCCATGCAGTGACATGCCAAGTGCATCAAAGTGAGAGGAAACTCTCCAACTCCACCCCTCCACACCCCCAAAAAGCCCCCAATCCCCATGCCTCCTCCAGCCCTTTCTCCAAACCCTCTCCAGCCCTTTGGCAGCCCGAGCGATGAAATCAGAAAAGCCGACGGGAATCAAGTCATCTCCTTCCTACTCACTACTATGGGTGTATTTTCGGGACGCCAATAAAGCACAGCGGACCTGAAAGGAGCAGCCAAGGAGGTACCGGATCGCCCCATGAAATTCCAAGCACCCCCCCTTTTTTTTTCTTCCCAGGTGCAGACAAGTTAGAAAATGCAAAAGTGCAAATTACCAGGAGAAGGAAAGAGAAAAGCAGGGAAGAATAAGCGATAAAGAATAAAAAGAAAAGATGGGAAGGAAAAAAAAAAGCTTCCACCTCAAAGGCAGCCTGACTTCCTCTCTCTGCCTCTCCAAGAAGGGAATGAAAGTGCCCGAGTTGGTTCCAGTCTACACATTGTAACAGTATCTGCCCCCAGGACGAAACCAACGGCAAAAGGCCGGGAAACAGCGGGGGGAGGGGGAAACTTGAGATTAAAAAAAAATAGGCTGCCAAGCGATTGCTAAAGCTCAGTGCCGTTTCTTGCTGTGACTTGGGCTTGGAATCCAGTTTCGAAGTCGATCCTTGCTGGATCCCCCCATGGAAACCCCGCTTTGGATCGTTTTCGAGGATTCGACAAAATCGTTTTCCCCCCTCCCGGCTGAAACGCCAATGCTGTGAAATCGTCCATCCCGGAAAAAGGAAATAGGACTGTCGCTTCCGGGTTTGAAGCTCGCTCTCCGCAAGACCTTTAAAAAAGAAACGACGGGGGAACGGCCCGAAGCGCGCGGCGTGGAAGGTTTGGCGTTGACGTTCTGGTGCGAATCGCGCGGCTGTAGGAAGGAGGGGCCGCCAGCCAACGTCGTCTGCATTTGTAACGGAGGGAGGGGGAGAGCACACTAGTGTGTTGTCCCACAGGTGCTTTTTCCGGAGGCAACTGGACCTTGTTTTTTTTTCTTTCGAAGACGTTTCGGTTCTCATCCAAGAAGCTTCTACAGCTCTGACAGGATACTTGGGAATGAAATGATTTATATTACTTGCAGACAGCTGGTAATCTGCATCCTTTTAGACTTAGAGGGTCATTGAAGCACTTGGTGGTTTATCTGTGTCCTCAGAGTCACCTGAGTAGTGCTCCTGGTTCCTGTAGTCTGCAATTTTTCCTCTGGAAATCCATTCCTCCTCCCACACCATTCCAAGAGTGTACATCCCAAATCGTATAGCTAAAAGTCTGTAGAGATTCTCAGTCATCCAGGTCATGGTTGTCCCAAAGGTGCTTTTTCAGGAGGCAACTGGGCTTTCTTGTTTTTCTTTTGAAGACGTTTCGCTTCTCATCCAAGAATCTTCCTCAGCTCTGACAGAATGGTGGGGAATGGAAGGATTTGTCTTCCTTGCACACAGCTGGTTGTTTGCACCCTTTTACGGTAATTTTATTCATTCCTACTTGGTGTGGGAGTAGAAAATGGATTTCCAGAGGAAAAATTGCAGACTACAGGAACTATTAGCACTACTCGGGTGACCCTGAGGACAGAGATAAACCTCCAGGTGTTTCCTTGTGTCTAAAACAAGGGTCTTCAAACTTGGCAAGTTTCAGACTTGTGGACTTCAACTCCCAGAATTCCTGAGCTAACATGACTGGAGGAAGAATTCTGGGAGTTGAAGTCCACAAGTCTTAAAGCCGTCAAGTTAGAAGACCCCTGCTCTAAAAGGATGCAAATGACCAGCTGTCTGCAAGGAATATAAATCCTGTTCCCCACTATTCTGTCAGAAGAAGCTTCTTAGATGAAAAGTGAAACATCTTTAAAAGAAAAAACAGTCCAGTTGCCTCTGGAGAGGGAAAAAAACATTTTTGGGACATCTATGGCTTGGATGACTGAGAATCACTACTGTAAAAAAAAGTGACTTCTGATCACTTGTGACCATTGCACATGATTTACATCTGGATACTTGACAACTGGTTCATTTTTATGATGGTTGCCGTGTCCTGGGGTCATGTGATCTCCTTTTGTGGCTTTCTGACTAGCAAAGTCAATGGGGAAGCCAGATTCACTTAACCATATTACTAATTTAACTACTGTGGGAATTTAACGAATGTAGCAAGATAAAACGGGCAAAACTCGCTTAAATTTCTTACTTAGCAATATAAATTCTGGGGTCAATTGTGGTAGTAAGTCAAGGACTACCTGTACAGTAGTTTTATGCATTGAAATATATGCACAGTTTAGGTTTAGTTTTCTCTTCTCAATCTGTACACCCTGTCTTGGATTGTAAATTTTGATTTGAGTTAAAAGTCAATGCATTGTCAGACATAAATCTGATAATATACATCCCATCTTTCCTTCCAAAACTCAAACCACATTACATTGGGACTCTAACTTCCAATAGCAAGCCTTGAGCTTAGAAAGTAGTATTGAGGCATCTAGTAAATTTCCATTATTGAAAATGGATTTAAATCGGGATGTATTTAATCCACTACGCTTTAAACCAGGGGGCATGAACCTTTTGGACCTCAGGGACCACCAAACTCATAATTTTAGATCCCAGAGACCACTGACAGGTTCTGTGGGCATGGCCTAATTTGTGGGTGTGGCTTGGTGGTCATGTGACTGGCTGGGCATGGCTTGTATATAAATATTATAAATATTTATATAAATATTGAATTTTTTATAAAGCAACTTTTACCCAAAATCAGGCAAAGCAGGCAGATTGAGTTGCTCACGGAATCACAGATTCATTCATATATCCTATCTGCCATTGGCTAGCTCAGTCTGTCACATAAAATTTGCTTGCAGGCAAACTCATAAAATTTGGTAGCAAGCAAACTCACAAAATTAACTCACAACACACCATGCATGTAAATATTGATTTTTTTTATAAAAAAGAGCAACTTTTACCCAAAATCAGGCAAAGCAGGCAGATTGAGTTGCTCACAGAATCATTCAGTGATCTATCTGCCATCGGCTAGCTCAGTCTCAAATTTGCTTGCCGTGAATCTGCACTGAATTTGCATGCAAGCAAACCTTCAGTCCTAAGGGAGGTTCAGCTGTGCTGAGCCGAAGATCTAAAGACTAACTAGAAAGCAAGAAATCCAACCATTTCCTGCTTCCTAGCTAATCTAAATCTCCCGGCAGAGCAGAACAAATGATGATCGGAAAAAGGAAAAATAGCAATTTAGCAGGCAAGTTTACCGGGTAAAGAGTGAGTGGGTGGGGAGAGTTCCCACGGGCCATGTGACCAGCACAGCCTTATGTTTCTGCGCAGCCTGGATTAATTGCTTTGAGGGATGCTCTGGGGGTGAGATTTCTCTGCAGCCCACCAAAATTTTCTCACAGCCCACCAGTGGGCCACGGCCCACCGGTTGGCGACCACTGCTTTAAACCACTACATTGCTACCAGAGCTGATCAAATATTTGTATCTTTATCCTGAAGAGACTAAAAATATGTGAATATCATTATGTCCTAGAAGCTATTCAACAAAAATTCGCAGAGGTGCATGAAAAATTTATATAATGTAAAATATGTGTTACTCCATATTATTATGGTAAATCGAGCCTATCTTTACAACGTTTAAGTTGTTTTGGTGAGATATGTGTGATATGTGTTGTGGCTTACGTTAAAATTTCAGTTTAGTCTAACTAATGTGTCCAATACCCCTATGATTAATTTTTTTGTAATTTCAGAACTTAAGAGAACTTCTAGTAAATGAATTAGCTTACATAATTCTATTGTGGAGTAGTTTTCTAGAAAGGCAGCTGTATTTTAAGAAGCTCGAATGCTGGTGCTGTTTAAGCAGGAAAACTAACTACTTTATTAAAATTAATTAGTGCATTGGATGCAAATATGCCATATTTTAATTTCTTAAATTTTCTGTTAAGCTTAGAGTGACTCCTACTGGCATGTACTGATCCCTTAATAAACTGCTGACTTGCAAAAAAAGGTCCCGGATGCTTATACTCCTTTCATTATTACAATAAATGTTTCTTATTTTGTGAACCTGAAGATGACTACACAGTGCTAGCAGGTTTAAATATTTCTCTTTTCTATGCGGGTTCCATAACACCATTATATCGAAGGGATTTTAGGGTGGGAGGGTCAATATTTATAATTTTGTAATCAAACTCTAGATTTTAACTGAAGCAGAAGCATTAGATAAATTGAAGTTAATAATACAGTGAGCATTTTAATAAGTAGAGCTACTATTGTTAATTCTCCACTTAGTTGCAATATGTACATGATCACCTCTTGCCATGTTACTTGTTTGAATTCATAAGAAAGGCATCCTGCATAGCAAAATTATCCCTTCTACATCTATTATGTTTGATTTAATATAGAAAAGAATATATGTAGTAACTTTGGTGTTTAAAGCACTTGAAATTATAGCTTTGGAGTCTTTGCACATAAAGTATACCTCAATTTGTTGTCCAGACTGAACAGTCTGAGAAATAAAATCCACAGGGTTATTGAGTTGGAGAAAATTCAAAGCTTGGTTTGCCTGAGGTTTTTTTTATACACTTTTAATGGTTGCTAAAACAATTGCTCCTTAGTTAAAGTTAATCTAAGATATAAGAACTGTATTGGTAACTGAAAGCTAAAGCACCTTTACAGATTTCAAATATACTTTATCCTCTAATCTATTTGGTTTTATCTAGTACTCTGTAATAATATCACCATTTTAAAAAAATTTTAATATGTAAAATAGAGTTTAGGACAAAAATAATAAAAAACCTCTTTTCTCTCTCTCTTGTGATCCATTTTATATAAGGAAGCAAGATTTAGGCCAGAGAGAAGACAGATACATACTTTAATGGTTGTAAAAATCTTACATTCCATGTTTAAAGTAATGAAGGCGACATCTGTAACAAGTATTTTTAATAATCCATGTTTTGAAATGCATAGCATCACAGGATAATAAACTGTTAATGTTGGTGCATTGCATATTTGCCTTTGTCAAATTATATTTTAAAAGATTTATTCAAGATACCCCGGATAACTCCCAAAAATCAGCCTTTCATAAGTGAATGTCATTCATTTATTTATTATGTATGCCACTCTCTTCAAAAAATCTCTTCTTGACAAGCATATTTTAAAACAAAACCTAACCATAAACAAAAAAGTTACCATATTGAAACTACATCTTAAATAGAAATACAAATGAAAGCACAAAACCAATTTTAGGGGGGTGGGGGGCCTAAAAAAACCTGGAAAAATGGAATTATTTTCATCTGATAAAATAGGACCTGAATATGTTATTATAGCTATGGATTATATTTCAAATATTCTAAATTGCAAACAATTTTGAAAAGAAGCACCAGTAGGCCAATATCTATATTTCGAATTGCAATTTCTTCTTCATGTATAAAATTTCCAGCTGTAGCCTAGAGATTACAGGATGGATAATTAGAACCAGGCAATCTGTCCAAAAAAT